AGTCGGCCGCTTAACCGACTGAGCCACCCAGGCGCCCCAACAAGACAATTCTTTAGACCACAAATCAAATGTTATATCGATTGCACTGTATTTTTTTTAAAATCAGATCAAGTTAACCCAATTAAAATAAAGTTTTAAATAAGCAAAAAAGGGATTCCTTGCTTTTGTGTGACATTTTTGCTGGATTTAATAATGGTCTTCCAAAGTAACGATAGTTGCTACTAGTTTAGAAATGAATGTATGACTTTGTGCTTATATGATACCTCTCTTAGTTCTTAAATTATGCCTTACACTTAAAAAATACCTTTTGAGGGGTGCCTGGGTGGCTCAGTCCATTGGGCATCTGACTTTGGCTCAGGTCATGATCTCTCGGTCCATGAGTTTGGGCCTCGTATTGGGCTCTGTGCAGATAGCTCAGAGCCTGGAGTCTGTTTCAGATTCTGTGTCTTCCTCTCTCTCTGCCCCTCCCCCGTTTATGGTCTCTCTCTGTCTCTGAAAAATGAAGAAATCTTAAAAAAATTTTTAAAAAGTACCTTTTGAAAAAACAGGATATTCTGACATGCTTTACTTTCCTATGGTTAAGCAGATCCTTTCACAGTTTGAAACAAAGAAATGTCTGAGTAGCAGAATTAGATATTCCATTTAATGGGTTTGAAACACTTATATAATATCACTGAGGCATCTACAAGAAAATATGAAAAAATAGTGGGGTTGGTAAATTAGTAAAAATTAGCCATATTGGGAGGTTGGCAGAGGTAATAGGGGGTTACTATTAATGGGTACAAGATTTCTTTTTGGGATGATGCAAATGTTCCAAAATTAGATTATGCTGATGGTTGTACAGTTCTGTAAATATCCTAATTACTTAAGCTGTATACTTTAAAGAGGTGGTATATAAAATGTATCTCAATAGCACTGTTAAAAAAATTAGCCATGGGATAAAATCTGATGCTAGAGAGGTGATAGTACAGTCTGTATATCCTATATATGTAAAATGACACAACACTCTTAAAGGAGGTTGGTTATTGAGAACCACGAAAATATTCTTGGATGCTGATATGTGACTTACAGGGACGTATATTGGGAAATGATCCAAAGTATAGAAAATAGAAAAATCATATCAAGTTACCATATATTTATTTCTTTCCTCTTTTTGTCATTCCTTCCTTCCTTTTGTGTGTGTATGTGTGTGTATGTATATGTGTGTGTGTGTGTGTGTGTGTGTGTGTGTGTGTGTGTGTATATATATAAATTAGAACTGGTCTAAATGAGTAATAGGGGAGAATGACTAGGTAAGTTTTGATGCATAGATTTAGTGGGTAATTATGAAGTTACTAAGATTGCTGAATTGTACAACTTTGTACATAATTCTTTGTCCACATTTCTCATTATTTCCTTAGGATAGAATGTGGAAGTGGAGATTGAGTCCGAAGGTTATATAATTTTTTTTCTCAATCTGAAAACTCCCCCCAGCAAATATGATATAAATAAATTGTAAAAAGTACAGAACTTAAAAGGAAGAAAGTAAAAGTGACTCCAAGGTATTCACATTTCAAAACGAAGCCCATTTTCTAAGCCTGTCATAACTGTGTGTGCCTAATATGCACTTTTCCAGGATTGAGTGGGTCAATCTTTTAATTTGAAAACCTCCCTAGAGTTGATCTGAATTTAAAAAAGGAAACTTAAAAAAATTTTTGTCTTCTATCTTCCTCTGTATTTAAGATGCCTTCTTGTGGAATTTAGTTGTGGAATCATGTCAGTAGTCCTCAAGAAAGGAATTAGGCAAGAAGAAACCCTGGCCCCATTTTAAACAAATGTGTTTATAAGGTATGGGAAGGCAGAGTGAGTTTATTTTGCATGTGCACCAGAATAAACTACCACTAGATGGCAGTCCTGTACAACCTTGGACTTTAGTTGGTTCCTCCTTTAAATAAAGTATGCTAAGAGATCACCAATGGAGGAATTTTGAGCCCAAATAATACTTTGCCTTTTATTAAAAATAAATGTAACTTCTGGGGCGCCTGGATGACTCAGTCCGTTAAGCGTCCGACTCTTGATTTCGGCTCAGGTCATGATCTCATGGTTCATGAGCTCAAGCCCCAATTGGGCTGTGTGCCTTCAACACAGAGCCTGCCTGGGATTTCTCTCTCTCTCTCTCTCTCTCTCTCTCTCTCTCTCTCTCTCTCTCTCTCTGTCTCTGTCTCTCTCCTCTATCTTTTCTCTATCTCTGTCTCTCTCCCTCCCTGTCTTGCTCACTATCAAAAAAAAAAAAGCATTAAAAAAATAAATGTAACTTCTTCATGTTGCAGAAAAGTAATGAAGTGGTTTTTAAAAATTTTAATTATAATAAGTGATATCTTAGAATATAAATTGAAAATGCTTTCTAGCTGTGCTTCTCAAACTTGAAGTTGCATTTGAATCATAATGGAATCTTGATAGAAATTCAGGTTCTAACTCTTTAAGTTTGTAATTGGAGAGTTTGAATTTCTGAAACTTTCTTCGTTGATGCCAAGTCTCAGAGATCTAGAGATATGTTGCTGCTCTGGATCTACCGAGTACTGTTCTATATGTTCTAAGTACTTTGCAGGTTGAATAACTTAAGATATAC